AAAAAAAAAAAAAAAAAAAATTTCAAGGATGTGTACGGTGGGCTCACACTTATAAACCTAGCACTCTGGGAAATCAAGGCAGATGGATTGCCTGAGCTCAGGAGCTGGAGACCAGCCTGACCAAAAGCAAGACCCTTTTTCAGTAAAAAAAGGAAAAACTAGGTGGGTATGGTAACAGGTGCCTGCAGTCCTAGCTACTTGGGAGGCTGAAGCAGAATATTATTTGAACTCAGGAGTTTGAGGTTGCTGCGAACTACAACACCATGGTACTCTACCTAGGGTGACAGAGTGGGAGTCTGTCTCCAAAAAAAAAAAAAAATTAGACTAGTATTGACAATATATTTTTTCACTGTGTCAAAACCAAAACCATGAGTGGCACCTGTAGCTCAGTGGGTAGGGTACCAGCCCCACATACGGAGGGTGGCGGATTCAAACTGCCCCAGCCAAACTGCAACAACAACAAAAATAGCCGGGCGTTGTGGTGGACCCCTGTCCAGCTACTTGGGAGGCTGAGGCAAGAGAATTGCCTAAGCCCAGGAGCTGGAGGTTACTGTGAGCTGTGACACCACAGCACTGTACCGAGGTTAATAAGTGAAACTCTGTCTCAAAAAAAAAAACAAAAAAAAAACCAACCCCAAAAAATCCCAAAGCATTTTTATTTGAAAAAATTTGCTGTAATTATCTGTTTAATTTAGTAAGTAAATTTACATGTCCTATAATCCCTAGTTTCCAAATTTCATACCATTCATGTTTGAATAAAAATTAAAAGAGGAAATGTCATAACAGATTGAACATATCCTTGTCCATCGTTAAGACTATTTTTGAAAGTTACCTTTAAAGAATTCTCCAGGATAGTCTGGAGGTGGTGATACCATGGGAGAATCCAGGTTTACAATAGATTTCATGACAATTTCTAAAGCATTTCTTCCATACTGCAATAAAAACCAAAAACTTTTAACTAGTTTTAGCATTTGGATATTCTTCATCACATTGACCCCTATATGTTACATGGGAAATTACAAGAATTTTGAGATGTGTACACAACAATCAACAAACATAAAATCTGTTCAGAGAGAAACAAATGAAGTCCTCCCAGGAACACTGATAAACCAAAGAATTTGAAACTTGCACAGCTGAATCAAAAAGAACACCATTCAGCTCAGCGCCTGGCTCAAGTGGCTAAGGCGCCAGCCACATACACCTAAGGTGGTGGGTTGGAATCCAGCCTGGGCCCACCAAACAACAATGATGGCTGCAACCAGAAAAAATAGCCAGGTGTTGTGGTGGGCGTCTGTGGTCCCAGCTACTTGGGAGGTAGAGGCAGGAGACTCGCTTGAGCCCAAGAGTTGGAGGTTGCTGTGAGCTATGCCACAACACTCTACCCAGGGTGACAGCTTGAGGCTCTGTCTCAAAAAAAAGAACAACAACATTCACTGTGATGGACAATCTGTCTCAACTGTACCAAAGATTAAAAAACAGCCTGTGTCTGAAGTCTCAGCAAACTGGGAGGCTCAGAGTGGGACCTGTGGTTCAAGGAGTAGGGTACCAGCCCCATATACCAGAGGGGGTAGGTTCAAACCCAGCCATGGCCAAAAAAAAAAAAAAAAAAGGGGGAGGATTAGGTGGGAGGAATGACTGACCCCCGGAGTTTGAGACAACCCTGGGCAAAGTAACAAGACCTCATCACTCCTCCCCTGCCAACAAAAAGGCCCAGCACGGTGGCTCACACCTGTAATCTCACAAGTTTGGAAGAATTACTTGAGGCCAATAGTTTTGTGACCAGCCTAGGAAATATAGCAATACTCTGTCTCTAATAAATCTTAACAATTAGCTTGGTATGGTGGTGCATACTCCCAGCTACTCAGGCAGCTGAGGCATGGGAGGAATGTTTAAGCCCAATAGTTTGAGGTTGAACCTTTAAACAAACAAAAGTTGGTTGTTTTCTTTTTTTTTTGAGATGAGAGTCTCACTTTCGTTAAAGCTAGGACTACAGGTGCCCAACACAATGAATAGGTGATTTTAGAAATGGGGTCTCTCTCTCTTGCTTAGGCTGGTCTCAAACTCCCGAGCTCAAGCAATCCACCCACCTGGGCCTCCCAAATTGCTGGGATTAAAGGCACGAACCACCACGCCTGGCCAGGATAAAGCATAAGTGGAGTCACATGATAATAGTTCTCAAGTATCTTTAAAAACATATATATAAAATACTACCTGATTCCTCCCATTGCACATTGCAGACATTCAATAAATAAATTCAATTATGGCTCAGCGCCAATAGCACAGTGGTTATGGCACCAGCCACGTACACCAAGGCTGGTGGGTTCAAACTTGGCCAGGGCCAGCCAAACAATAATGACAACTGTAACAAAAAAAATAGCTGGGTGGTGTGGCGGGAGCCTACAATCCTAGCTACTTAGGGGCTGAGGCAAGAGAATCACTTAAGCCCAAGAGTTTGAGGTTGCTGTGAGCTGTGACGCCACAAACCACAGCACTCTACTGAGAGTGACAAAGAAGACTCTGTCTCGGCTCAGCGCCTGTGGCTCAAGTGGCTAAGGTGCCAGCCACATACACCTAAGGTGGCGGGTTCAAATCTAGCCTGGGCCGCCAAACAACAATGATGGCTGCAACCAAAAAATAGCCTGGCGTTGTGGCGGGCGCCTGTGGTCCCAGCTACTTGGGAGGCTGAGATAGGAGACTCGCTTGAGCCCAGGAGTTGGAGGTTGCTGTGAGCTGTGATGCCATAGCACTCTACCCAGGGGTCAGCTTGAGGCTCTGTCTCAAAAAAAAAAAAAAAAGAATAAAAAATAAAAATAATGCAGAGTTAATCACCAAAAATCTAACATGTAAAATTCTCTCTTACAGGAAGCCATGGATTTAAAGCAAAAAGATAAGGGCAGGAAGTTTTCAATTTGAAACAGTAACCACTTTCCTTATCTTTTTGCTACAAACACAATACATAACACTAGTTTTCAGAGATAACTGGAAGCTGAAAAGTACCTTATTGTCAAAGTTAAATCTGCTCAGATCTCTGGATTCTGTTGCTCTTCTGTCACCATGTGTAAGTGCCCCCTACCAAAACATACAATTTTCAATCAAGGCACAGTTAACTTTAGACCAGAAAACAAATAAAACATATTATCTCTTACACTCATTCAAAATACTCAAAAAAAACTTACCAAACTCTCAAGTCTTTTAGCAACAATAGATGCAAATCTCTGTTCTCCTGCCAATTCAGATATCAAAAAGACATACTCGGGAGCAGTAACTTGGTTTGATCTATGAGTTCGTCCTGTAACGACATTTTTATACAAGATCACTGTGTTCACTAGAGACAGAATATTCTTCTGAGATCTAGTCCTAAAACTTACCACTAAATGGTTGAGAAACCCATTAACAAAGGAAAAAAAATTTTTTTGAGACAGGGTCTCAGTTGATCACCCTTGGTAAAGTGCCCTGGCATTATTAACTCACAGCAACCTCAAACTCTTGGGCTCAAGCTATCCTTTTGCCTCAGCCTCCCAAGTAGCTGACACTATAGGCGCCAACCACAACTCCCCACTATTTTTAGAAACAGAGTCTCGCTCTTGCTCAGGCTGGTCTTGAACTCCTGAGCCCAAGTAATCCATCTGCCTTGGCCACCCAGAGTGCTGGGATTACAGGCCTCCATCACGCCTGGTTCAACAAAAGAAAATATTAAAGATAACATTTATCAAAGTCCCCACAAAAGTAAAAAAACCTAGTATTCTATGGTGCATTTATTACAAAGAAAAGTACAAAATCATAAACACTTTACATGAATAACATCCAAGTTCAGAGCAATATTTTTGCTTAAGAAAGGAGAGAACAGCTCCGCGCCTGTGGCTCAAGTGGTTAAGGCACCAGCCACATACACCTAAGGTGGCGGGTTCAAATCCAGCCCAGGCCCACCAAAAACAAAAATGATGGCTGCAACCAAAAAATAGCTGGCTGTTTGTGGTGGACGCCTGTGGTCCCAGCTACTTGGGAGGCTGAGGCAGGAGACTCGCTTGAGCCCAGGAGTTGAAGTTTGCTGTGAGCTGTGATGCCACAGCACTCTACCCAGGGGGACAGCTTGAGGCTCTGTCTCAAAAAAGAAAAAAAAAAAAGGAAAAGAGAACAACTTGGCACCTGTAGCTTAGCGGCTAGGGCACCAGCCATGTACAGCAGAGCTGGCAGGTTCAAACCTGGCCCAGGCCTGCCAAACAATGACGAAAACCAAAAAATAGCTGGGCATTGTGGTTGCTGTGATGCCAGGGCACTCTACCCAGGGTGACGTTGAGAGATTCTGTCTCAAAAAAAAAAAAAAAAAAAAAAAAAAAGGCGGCACCTGTGGCTCAGTGGGTAGGGCGTCAGCCCCATATGCCAAGGATGGCGGGTTCCTGGCCCCGGACAAACTGCAACAACAAAAAAACATAGCTAGGTGTTGTAGCAGGAGCCTGTAGTCCCAGCTACTGGGGAGGCTGAGGCAAGAGAATCACCTAAGCCCAGGAGTTGGAGGTTACTGTGAGCTGCGTGGCACCACAGCACTCTACTGAGGGCAATAAAGTGAGACTCTGTCTCTACAAAAAACAAACAAACAAACAAAACAAAGAGGGGCGGTGCCTATGGCTTAGTGAGTAGTGTGCCAGATTCAAATCCAGCCCTGGCCAAACTGCAACAAAAATAGCTGGGCATTGTGGTGGGCGTCTGTAGTCCCAGCTACTCGGGAGGCTGAGGCAAGAGAATCGCCTAAGCCCAAGAGCTGGAGGTTGCTCTGAGCTGTGATGCCATGGCAGTCTACTGAGGGTGACAAAGTGAGACTCCATCTCTATAAAAAAGAAAAAAGAAAGAAAAAGAAAGGAGGCACAATGCCCGTAGCACAGTGGTTATGCCAGCCATATGCGCAGAGGATGGCAGGTTCGAACCTGACCCGGGGCCAGCTAAACAATAACAACTGCAACAAAAAATATCAGGGCATCAGGGTGTTGAGGTGGGCCCCTATTGGGAGGGGCTCCTTGGGAGGCTGAGGCAAGATAATCACTTAAGCCCAAGAGTTTGAAGCTGCTATGAGCTGTAATGCCACGGCACTCTACCTAGGGTGGTGACAGCTTGAGACTCTGTCTCAAAAAAAAAAAAAAAAAAGAAAGAAAGGAGAGAACCTGCCATAAAAGTGTCAAATGACAAGGCTGGTCTCAGAGGCTCATGCCTGTAATCCTAGCACTTGGGGAGGCCAAGGCAGGTGGATTGCTTGAGCTCGTAAGTTCGAAATTAGCCTGGCAAGGGCAAGACCCTGTCTCTAAGAAAAATAGAAAAAATTAGCTAGGCATTGTGTAAGGCACCTGCAGTCCTAGATACTTAGGAGGTTGGGGCAAGATCACTTGAGCACAAGAATTTAAGGTTGAAGGTGGGGCTTGTGGCTCAGTGGGTACCAAAGGGTACCCTGGCCCAGGTCAAACTGCAACAAAAAATAGCTGGGCATCGTGGCGGGCACCTATAGTCCCAGCCACTTGGGAGGCTGAGGCAAGAGAACTGCCTAAGCCCAGAAGTTGGAGGTTGCTGTCAGCTGTGACACTATGGCACTCTACCAAGGGCGATAAAGTGAGACTCTGTCTCAAAAAAAAAAAAAGAATTTAAGGTTGCTGCAATCTATGACACTATGGCGCTCTAACCAAGGCGACAGAATAAGACTGTCTCAGAAAAGAAACAAAAAGACCTACCAAATGACAGAAGTACTATTGCAACCTTGCTACCCCAATTATGCTTAATGTTGCTGCTATTAAGTCACTCTGGATTCTCCCAAAATTTTCAAATCATGGGGTCACAGAGAAATAAAGACAGAAGGGAAGAGAAGGGACTGGTTATGTGAGGCCACTCAGGGTTGAAAAAGTTATAAGGAAAGCACTTCTTATTACGAGCCCTGTTCTTGGATATAATGCCAGAAACCCTTTTAAAATAGGTAAAAACTCTGAGAGGTCAAGGTGGGTGAACAGCTTGATCAAGCTCAGGAGTTTGAGACCAGCATGGGCAAGAGCAAGACCTTGCCTCTAAAAACTAGCTGGGCATTGTGGAGGGTGACTGTAGTCCCAGCTTCTCTGGAGACGGAGGCAAGAGGATTGCTTGAGTGCAATAGAAGGGCTGTTACTGTAAACTATGATGCCACAGCATTCTACTGAGGGTGAAAAAGTGAAACTATCTCAAAAAACTAAAATTAAATAAATGTAAAAAATAAAGTGTTTGCTTCGGCAGCACATATATTAAAACTGGAACGATACGGAGAAGATTAACGTGGCCTCTGTGCAAAGATGACACACAAATTTGTGAAGCATTCCATATTTTAAAAAATAATAAAAGAAAAGTGAATTCGTAACACACTAGTATATGTAATACATCTTATTTATTTATTTATTTTTGAGATAGAGCCTCAAGCTGCTCCCCTGGGTAGAGTGCTATGGCATCACAGCTCACAGCAACCTCCAACTCCTGGGCTCAAGTGAGTCTCCTGCCTCTGCCTCTCAAGTAGCTGGG